CCTAAACACCAACCACCTTGAGGCAAAGACCTTGACTTCTGCTCAGTGACACTACTCTTTCGAGGGATGCTTTGACTGGGTTTGCCAGATTCCTTTAGGACACGTTTTCCCGCCCCTAAACCTCCCAGAAGTGTGGCTGCTCCGTGTGTCCTCTCTGCTACCACCACCTCTCTGTGGTGTCCCAGGCCAATCACTGCCTTCATGTTGCTGAGAGTATAGACACTCATGTGGTCCAACTACAGCCGTAATTATATGACCCCCAGGAAGAGCCTGCTGTGCTGGAAATGATGTAGGCTTCTGGCCGTCCCCCTTTTTCTTATAGGGTGACCCAGAACTTGCAGAGGATTTAGCGTCTGTGACAATGAGACGATGACACTTTGCAAAGCTGTTGGCTTCAGTACAGTACCCTACAAGGGCATCATAGGACAGATGTAAGTTCTCTCCCCACAGCTAGTTCTTCCTCCAAGAGACAAAGCTGGACAGAAGCCAGCAGGCAGGTAGTGAGAGAGAGAAAGCATGAGAGAGGGAAGGACCAAGAAGGATTGAGGCCCCCGGGGGGGGACAGGTCGCTGTAGAAATATGCGTTTAGAGAGGCATAGCAGCATTCTGAGGCTGTGGCCTGCCATTGGGCAAGGTGGACAGTGCCTCAGTTTAGAAGGGCTTGTGAAGGAGCGGCAGACAGAGAGACAAGGGTCCCTGCACATGGCCAAACAAATAGCAGCCATGCAGCTGTTGTGTCAGTTCGGGAAGCCATTGGATGGACAAATGGAGCTAATGCTAGAACCGATCAGCTGAAAGCTTTCATAGGCCTCTACAATAATCCCTCCATACATGTACATGTTACTAATAATAGTAATTACAGAAATGCACAATTATAAATAATAATTATAGTTAGCACGCATTAACTTTTCAGTGCTTGTTTATTGAGACAGAGCCTTATGTAGCCCAGTTCAGCCTGGAACTCTTCGAAGCTGAGGCTGGCATTGAGCTTCAGATCCTCCTGCCTCCATCTTCCAAGTGCTGGGATTACACATATTTATCACTGATCCTGGCGTTGTGCAGAGGTGGGGATCAAACCCAAGGTCTCTTCCTGCTGGGCAAACATTCTGCCAACCAAGCTATATTCCCAGCCCTAGAGTTAACAAGTGCTGAGCCCTCGGTACTACTGAAAGTGCTTCCCCTGGCCTGCCCACTTCGCAGTGGAGGAAAGTGAGGCAATTTGTCCAAGGATGCACAGTTGAAAAGTGGCAGAGCTAGACTGCAAAGTTCAAGATTCAAAATCCTTTATGTCCAAAGCTGGTGCTCTCAGCACTCCCCCCTCCCTCTCTCCCTCCCTCTGTCTCCCTATTTCTCTCTCCCTCTGTCTCTCTCCTTCTCTCTCCCTCCCTCTCTTAATAGTTTTATGACACTGGGTTGTGACCAAGGCTGCCAGCTGCCTGTGCTCCTTAGTCCCCTGACCGGCCCATCAGACACGGAGGAGGTGAGTCAGGGCAGAAGCTTGCTGAGATGAGAGCAAGCACAGAGGCCCTCTGGACCTAGGTGAGTAAGGAGTATGAACTATGTGTGTGACACGGCAGTGGGCCAGGGTGGTATGTGTATGAGTCAACACGCAGATGAGCACCAGAGCCCAAATTCAATCTTCTCCTTCCTCCTTTTGTCTCTGAGTCAGACCTACAGCCAGAAGAAGATGATAGAGCAAGTAAAGATGGTGCAGGTCCAGGCTGCCTGGGCATGAAACCCCACCTCCAGTCCTTACTGGAGCAAACATCAGGCTAGTCACTTTCAGCTTAGTGCCTCAGTTTCTATGAAGTGGGGTTATGAGAGTCGCTGCCAACTGTGCTTGCTATTGGACCAGAACACAGCTCGTGTTACATATTCTGTACAGAAGCATGTCAGTTATAATGAGTTTGGATCTTGTCCACTGGATTTTTGTTGCATTTTATAGAAACAGTTTCTGGAAATGATATTGTGCTTATGTTTAGCCAATGTCCACTTTCCTTGTGAGAGACTTACTTATTAAGAGCCAGGAGATGGTGGTCCACGCCTTTAATCCCAGCAAAAGCAGGTGAATCTCTGAGTTCAAGGCTATCCTGGTATACAGTGAGTTCCAGGATAACCAGGGCTGCACAGAAAAACCCTGTCTCAAAGAAAAAGGAGTTAGGACCCTCAGCCTTTGGGTATCTGTCCTACATGCACTCCTCACAGCCCCGTGTTTCCTCTCCTAGACTCAGCCCTACACTGGGCAACCAGCCTGGTGGTGTGGGCGGCATACAGCATGCATTCCAGAGCCCTTTCTTATTCATGGGCCTCTTGTGAAAGGAGGCTCTGACAAGTGTACCACCTTGGCAAAGTGGGGACAAATCTCTCTGGGTCAAATCCTCATCAGTGAAGAGGGTAATACCCTTGCCCTTTGACCCTAAAGAGCTGACTGAATTTACTGCCCCACAGAGGATCTGTGAGATATTGTGACCATCACTGGGAAGGCAGCTCTAGGTCAGCTAGGGAAAATAGGCTTCCCAGAAGAGCATTCTGCATTTCTGTCCCAGGCCAGAGCCTGCTCTGTAATCAGTCACCAATCTGGCCCTGACAGAGAGGAGCAGAAGGGTGAGCAAGCTTAAATAGTGCAAGACAGCCAAATTTAGACATGGGCTAAGAGTTTGGCTAGTGCTGGACATGGAAGGTGGCCAGAGCCTGGGGGAGGGGAAAGAGTTCATTCTCTACTGCCTGACAATGATATCCTGGGTTATGAATTCCAGCCAGGCTTCTTCTCAGGTTCAGAGACAATACACTTCCTTTCTCTACCCTTGGTTCTGGGCTCCAGGAAAGGGGAACATACCCAAATGAGCCAGGCAGCAGCAAAGAGGACTAGGGATGCCCTCCTCCAGTGTGGGTGAGGGAAGGCTCCAGGCAGGTCCCTGGAGCTAAACGAAGACAGGCCTGAAGCCACAGCAGCCATACTTCCAGTGAGCTAGAAAGCACTCCTGTTTATTATTCTCCCTAGCCTTTCTCCTGTTAGAGCTCCTGAGTCTGCCCTGGGGGTGGGTGGACAAGAGGAAAAAAATGCAATGAACCTTTGCAGAAAAGGAAGGAGGCCAGGGAAGCTGGAAGGAAATCATGGCTGCCTGAATGGACACCACAGGAGACCAAGCCGGTGAGAGTAGAATCATCTAGACCATCCACTGGAAAAGCACAGAGGATAGAGGCGTACCTTTACAAAGCCCGCAGAGACATTGTCCACAGGCTTGCAGAGAATGAAGAGCAAGCTTATCTGGTCTCTCAGGACAGCATCCCCTCTTCCCTCAGCAGGGAGCAGAAGGGAAAGAGGAGGAGGGACAGCACGGGTGCTCCCCTCTGCAACAGTGGCTCTCAGCCTTCCCAACGCTGCAACCCTTTCATACAGCTCCTCATGTTGTAGCCCACAATCATAAAATTATTCTGTTGCTACTTCATAACTGAAAATTTGCTACTGTTATGAATTCTAATGTAAACATGATATACAGGATATGATGTATGGATCCTCTGTAAAAGAGTCTTTTGACCCCAAAGGGGCCCCAACCCACAGGTTGTGAACCACTGCTCTAAAAGCGTACAACATGGAGTCCAGAGCCCTCAGCTAGGCAGCTAGGCCAGGCTGAAAGTCTCCACCCAACCACACGGGAAGACCCACACGCTTGTCCCGTCTGCTGGGAACACATCGATAAAGCTCATTTCCAAAGGCCTCAATGGGAAGCTGGTGGACAAAGTCAAAGCATGGTGGAGGGTGAAGACAGCGCACATGTGGAATATTCTCTAAGCTCTTCAGTTCCTTCTCATGAAGGCTGCTTTCCTGGCTGCCCACCCTGGGTCTCTGCCAAAGAGGCACAAAATTCTACACTCAGCACAGGGTGTTCCCAACACATCTGCGGTGCCACGCTTGCCTCAAGCCTGCCTTCTGAGGGAAGCCATTCTTCAGGGCATCCCAGACAGACCCCAGAGTGTGCACATGTCTGTGAGCACATGTGCACAGGTGATGAGCGGTGACACTGAAAGAGGATGTTCACCGGATGGACAGGGGCTGACTCACGCTCTAATCCCCTGGGCTAGGTGTGCAGGGAAAAGAGGACTGGTAAGGAAGGAAGCTGAGAAAGAAATGTAGAGGGGAGATGGCGAAACTGACCCAAACCCTTGCCCTCTCCTCCTGATCCCCACTACGTGTCGGAGCTGGAAGATAAGCTATGAAGTCGTGGTTCTGGAGTGGGTAAGGGCTGCTCCGGGAAAGCAGACACGGCCAGCCTTCACATCCTGAAGGAAAAGTGCAGGCATGGCTTTACCAAAGCTTGCCGTGGAGAGGCTCAGGACTGGAGAGGAGCAGCCTGCCTGGCGTTAGGGGACCCCAGTCTAGTGAAGCCCAAATACCATACCAACAGGCACCATTCTGTTTAGAGTAAGGAAGAGAAGAACGTCTTAAAGGTTAGTAATGGTGACAGCTAAATTTTCTCCATCCCGTGTGTGTGTGTGTGTGTGTGTGTGTGTGTGTGTGTGTGTGTGTGTTTACGCGTGCGCGCGCGCGCGCCCGGGGGCTGGGGTGGGGGGAGGCGGGATAGGATTCCTGGAGGTGTGGCTATGCTCTGCCTCCAGTGGCAGCCAGTCTGCTAGTCTAGCATCTGAAAGTGAGGAAAGGCCCAGGGAAGTTATAAATAGGCAGAGGCCCGGGCCTTCGGGGGAGAGGGACAAAGCCCTGCTACACAGGGTTGTGCAGTCAAGAGTGAAAAGAGATCTTTTAAGAGATCCAGGGAAGAGGGTTAAGGCAGGCCCTCCTGCTCTACCTCAGTACCGCCCTTGGCTCAGCTGAAGAGCAGCTGGGGCACTTGATTTCACAGCCTCAGCTTCCCACGGGTCGCCGCACCTTCTCTGTATCTTTTCAATACCTAACATTAGCCTGGAAGAGCCGGTCTTTTCCCTGGCTTCCAGGCACGCTCCCCGGGAGCCAGGGTGCCTGGCTGGGTCTCCGGCCGTCCTACCTGCAAACACCGCGGAGCAGTAGGCATCGCTGATGTCGGAGTCCGGGGTGTGGACATTCTCCGCGAAAAGGACGAAGACTCGCAGCATCGCGAAGCAGGAGAGGCAGGGTCAAGGTCCCTCAGAGCGAGGTGGGCCTGGATGAACGGCTGCCGGCTCGCAGGTGCTGTTCTGAGGAGGAGCGGCTAGTTCAGGGGGCCGCAGACTAGAACCCCGCCTCCGACTGGCCGGAGAGCGGAGCACAGGGGCTTCTGTTCACTTCCCACCCCCGCAGTCCTGCTCCAGCCCCACGGAACTGTAATCCAACGCCCCGCCGGCAGCCTTTCCAATGACACGGCACTTTGCTCCAGACCCTGAAGCTGCGGGCTGGGCGGTGGCCGCGGTGGCCCGAGCAGCCGCGGCTCCGGGACGCAGGGCCGTGCGGCTCCTCCCCTGACCTTCCACCTCCAGCCAGGAGCTGTGCGGTGTTGGCTAAGCTGGCCGCTGGCAGTGGCCCGGGGAGTGACCGCTCCTCAGAAGCCAGTCGGGCAGCCCCCGGGAGGAAGAGAGCTGGAGCAGGCGCAGCTCCGGCGCTTTTGCCGAGAGCTCGGAATTGCATTGGTGGACAGCACAGCGACTTTAAAAACTTAGCCTCCTTTCCTGGCTGGAAAAGTAGCCGCGTTAACACAGTAGTTTGCAACGCTCCTAGTGCTGTGACCCTTTCATACAGTTTCTTCGTGTTGTAGTGACCCCAACCATAAAATTATATTCGTTGCTACTTCAGGACAAATTATACGGGTTGCTACTTCGGAACGGTAATTTGCTACTGTTATGAATTGCAATGTAAACATCTGATACCCCGGGGATCCGATTTGTGATCCTTGTAGAGGGGTCACGACCCACAGGTTGAGAAGCCTGCGTAAACACAAACTACAAAGGAAGACAGAAGTCTCTGGATCCTTAAAACAGAACAAAACAAAAACTGTATTAAAATAAAATTTGAATATTTAACAATTCAGGCTCCCCTTTGAACTTATAAAATGCACGTGACAATTTGCATTGACTACCTGAGTCGGTTGATCTGTGCCTTGTCCTACTGCTTCAAGTAACTTTTCCCTTATCTTCTAAACAGAATTGGAGAGATAAGATGTCTCAGTTGTTAAGAGCACTTGCTAGCCCCTCCCCCAGCCCCCCTCTCCCAAAAAGCCGGGTGTGGTGGCACACTCCTTTAATCCCAGCACTGGGGAGGAAGAGGCAGGCAGATCTTTGAGGCCAGCCTGCTGTACAAAGCGAGTCCACGACAGTCAAGACTACACACAGAACCCCTGTCTCCAAAAACAAGACAAAACAACCCCCCCCCGAAACCAACAAAACAACAAAAAAGAGAGAACTTGCTTCTCTTGTAAGAGAACTTGGGTTTGCTTCCCAGTGCCTATATCTTGGAAGGAAGGGAGGGAGGGAGGGAGGGAGGAAGGAAGGAAGGAAGGAAGGAAGGAAGGAAGGAAGGAAGGAAGGAAGGAAGG